AGAAAGCATATGTGCAGCTTACATGTATTGTAAAATTGCAAGGATATTGTGACTAGAATACACACACACACACACACACACACACACTGATTATGTTCTCATATATGCCTCCTGCATATCCTTCTTGTGCAGGCATGGACGGTACGTCCAGACATCTGACAGCACAAAGTAAACACATGTGCATTTCCCAAACATGCAATTGATAATATCATTCATGCATATAATTCTGTAAGGGGATGTATCACTTTATAAGTATAAATCACATTGCAAGTAGCAATGTGTGATAGGGAAGAAGACTACACCTGTGCTAGTTACTCACAACCTGCATTTCATTACAGCTTACAGGTATCACTGTATCACTGATATGTATGTATATAGACCCACCTATGCAAGTAAAAAATATGTGTGTTACGTATATGGGCCCCATGCACAGATATATTTGCACCCACTGTTTTGCAAATCTGGCAGTTTTTCTTGCATGTTTTGAATACCCGGAGTCACAGGTATAACTGTGATGTTTGCATAATGAACTATCATATCTGCAAGGCCAGGAGCCCAGCAGAACCATGACGAGGACTTAGAAGGTCCAAGTTACTGCAATTCAGGGGAAGCCCTCCTGATTGCTGTTATCCTTTCCTGGCATGAAGCTACAGCTGTCCCATCTTCTGGAAGATTGGACCATGGACCGCCAAGTCAACAGACCGATGGATCATCAAACAAATCAAACCAGAGTTCTCACTCAAGGCGCCAATGACCAAGCTCAAATTATCCTACTCTAAACACCTTATGCAAAGACCCAGCTCTCTGGAGAAGGCTCTGGTGCTGGGAGAGGTGGAAGTAAAGAAAAGAAGAGGACGACCAGCAGCCAGGGGGATGGACTCAGTTACGGTGGTGATTTTGGGAGACTTGAAAAAACAGGTTAGAGATAGACTGTCATGGAGAAAATCTATGTGGTCGTTAGGAGTCAAAAACGACTTGATGGCCTATCTATCTATCTATCTATCTATCTATCTATCTATCTATCTATCTATCTATCTATCTATCTATCTATCTATCGTTTTTGCAGACACATGTGCAAAAATCCAAC